GGAGAGAGGCCCAGCAGTAGTACGAAACAATATAGCATCGAAAGTCAAGTCTGACACGAAACTGCTTTACAGCCACATCAGAAGGAAGACAACAGTCAAGGACCAAGTAATCAGGCTGAGGAAAGAAGGTGGGGAGGTCACAAGAAATAACCAAGAAGTATGCGAGGAGCTCAACACGAGATTTCAGGAAACATTTACAGTGGAGGCAGAAGGGACACTGGGAAGTCAAAACAGAGGGGTACACCAACAAGGGATATACCAACAAGTGTTATATGAAATACACACAACCAAGGAGGATGTGTAAAAGCTCCTAAGTGACCTTGACACCTCAAAGGCAGTGGGACCGGATAACATCTCTCTGTGGATCCTTAAAGAGAGAACAGACACACTGTATGTGCCACTAACCACAATCTTCAACACATCCCTTAAAACTGGGCAACTACCTGAGGTATGGAAGATGGCAAATGTAGTCCCCACCTTTAAGAAAGAAGACAGAAACGAAGCACTAAACTATAGACCAGTGTCACTGGCATGTATAGTATGCAAAGTCATGGAGAAGATTATCAGGAGAGTGGTGGAGCACCTGGAATGGAACAAGGTTATAAATGACAGCCAGCACAGATTCATGGAAGGCAAATCCTGTGTCACAAACCTACTGGAGTTTTATGACAAGGTAACTGAAGTAAGACTATGAGAGGGAGGGGGTGGGTTGGTTGCATTTTCTTGGACTGCAAGAAGGCCTTTGACACAGTTCCTCACAAGAGATTAGTGCAGAAGCCAGAGGATCAGGCACGTATAACAGGAAGGGCACTGCAATGGATGAGAGAATACCAGACAGGGAGACAACAGCGAATCATGGTACGTGATGAGGTATCACAGTGGGTGCCTGTGATGAGCATGGTCCCACAGGGGTCAGTCCTGGGACCAGTGCTATTCTTGGTATATGTGAATGACATGATGGAAGGGATAGACTCAGAAGTGTCCCTGTTTTCAGATGATGTGAAGTTAATGAGGAGAATTAAATCAGATGCAAATCAGAGAGAGACCTGGACATTCTGGACATTTGGTCCAGCAACTGGCTCCTAGAATTTAACCCCGCCAAACGCAAAGTCACGAAGATTGGGGAAGGGCAAAGAAGACCGCAGACAAAGTATAGGCAAACCTCACTCAAGGAGAAAGATCTAGGGGTAAGTATAATACCAAGCACGTCACTGGAAGCACACATTAACCAGATAACTGCTGCGGCATATGGGCACCTGGCAAACCTGAGAATAGCGTTCCAATACCTCAGTAAGGAATCGTTCAAGACACTGTACACCGTGTACGTCAGGCCCATACTGGAGTATTGCAGGACCAGCTTAGAACCCACACCTGGTCAAGCACGTCAAGAAATTAGAGAAAGTGCAAAAGTTTGCAACAAGGATAGTTCCAGAGCTAAGGGGAATGTCCTATGAAGAAAGGTTGAGGGAAATCAGCCAGACGACACTGGAGGACAGGAGGGTCAGGGATGACATGATAACGACATACAAAATACTGTGTGGAATAGACAAGGTGGACAGAGACAGGATGTTCCAGAGATGGGACACAGAAACAAGGGGTCACAATTGTAAGTTGAAGACTCAGACGAGTCAAAGGGACGTTAGGAAGTATTTCTTCAGCCACAGCATTGTTAAGAAGTGGAACAGTCTGGCAAGTGATGTAGTGGAGGCAGGAACCATACAGTTTCAAGACGAGGTGTGATAAGCTCATGGAGCAGGGAGAGGGAGGACCCAGTAGCGGTCAGTGAAGAGGAGGGGCCATGAGCTGAGTTTCGACCCCTACAACCACAATTAGGTGAGTACACACACACACACACACACACACACACACACGCACACGCACACGCACACGCACACGCACACGCACACACGCACACACACACACACACACGTGCACACACACACACACACACACGTGCACACACACACGTGCACACACACACACACACACACACACACACACACACACACACACACACACACACACACACACACACATACATACATACATACATACATCCATATTTCTTTCTTTCAACACACCAGCCGAATCCCACCGAGGTGGGGTGGCCCAAAAGGAAAAACAAAAGTTTCTCCTTTGACATTTAGTAATATATACAGGAGAAGGGGTTACTAGCCCCTTGCTCCTTGCATTTTAGTCGCCTCTTACAACATGCATGACTTACGGAGGAAGAATTCTGTTCCACTACCCCATGGAGGTAAGAGGAAATAAACAAGAACAAGAACTAGAAAGTAAATAGAAGAAAACTCAAAGGGGTGTGTATATATATGCTTGTACATGTATATGTAGTGTGACCTAAGTGTAAGTAGAAGTAGCAAGACGTACCTGAAATCTTGCATGCTTATGAGACAGAAAAAAAGGACACCAGCAATCCTACCATCATGTAAAATGATTACAGGCTTTCATTTTACACTCGCTTGGCAGGACGGTAGTACCTCCCTGGGCGGTTGCTGTCTACCAACCTACTACCTAGTTACTTCCATATTATATATAGATATACATACATACATACATACATACATAAGTTCATATAGCTAACTCCTAATTCTTGGGTAGAGATTAGTCAAGAACTATTTATGATTTATGATTTTCTTTAGGCTGAATTGTAAACATAATTTTTCTCTTAGTATTTTGCCATATGTATCCAAACTTTATGTATGTTCCTTTTTTGCATGTACTACATCGAGAGTTCACACCTGTTAGGTAAAGATCGGTCAAGAATCATACATTTAATATTTACACCCTGAACATAATACCACAAAATGGAGTAACAGGGATAAATGCAGGGCAGGAAAAGTTACCCCTCTCCCCTGCCAGTTCTATGAGGAATAAGGCAATTTATACTGAGGTATGCCTGTACAGTACTGTACAGAAGTTTGTGAATTGCCAAATCCTAGCGTGTATGCATAAGCTGTTTATGTAACTTCAGGGTAATGCTAGCTTTAAAAATGTCTTGCTTTAAAATGAAATTTTTTTAAAACTTACCAGCACCAACTTTAGAGAATTAGTGGTTATGATTGGCCTCACGGCAGGCTTTTCAAAACTTATGTCCAATGATTCGGTAGTGTCCAACCATGGAAAAGAGAAAAAAAACCATTGGTCGTACATTTGGTTTTCGTGTTTTGAATGTTTTCCTTGCTTTTTTTTTTACTTTAATCTGAATAATTTGGTTTTATTTGAATCTTTATTTTCAGGGTTGCTGGCCAATTTGTCTATGGAGGAAAGTGAAGATAAACCTCTAAATTTTGGCAATCACAAATAATGTAGATGTAATAAAGTCTCTGCTTTTAGTAAGTTCAGCTCTGTGAAGGAAAAAGCAATGAAAAGCAACACAATTATTTCAAAAGTACCAACAGATAGTGCTGTGTAAAGTTCCCTGCTCACCCATCAGTCACCTGACTGAAATACCCTCGTCACTTGAGCTTCTGTGTATTGCGAGATTTAGCGACCCAGTAGCTGAATCAAATATAACTCTTTAATAATGTAATTGCTAATAAATTCTATCTCATTAATAGTCATTCTAACACAAGATTTGCAAAATCAAATTTGAAAACAAAACTGCACACAGATACATCTACACGTATGTTCAGAAATGTTGATTAGGAGACAATGAAGTGACACATATGTACTGAAAGTCATAAACATTAAAACAACTCTTACAATTATCTTTATGAATGACATGCTTTACAGAATTCTAGTGTATACAATTAAACAGACTATAATTAACAGAATGAGATCTGATAAATTTATGCACTATGTTGGATAAATTTACATATAATGAAACCCGCATATTTTAGTATGTACTGTCTAAATCTGGAGATATATCAAAATAGTTGTTTTCATACAAGATTTAGTGTTCCGAAATATCAAATTCATGACAGTCCAAATAACAGTTACATATATCAGGAATGTTCCTAGAATTGAAATTTAATCACAATTAAGTAATCAGAGCAATGTTTAAAACACATTACTTCAGTTACTACAGAATTTAAACATCACTGCTTTGCTGAGCATGAAAAATAACTGTTGTAATTCTCCTTTTATGTACTAGATGTATACAGTGGTACCAAGTTTCGTACTGCTCCAGCTCAACTTTTATGTAAGTGTATTAATAGTAAGTATAGGTATAGTGGTAGACAGCAACCGCCAGGAGGTATACGTCTCAGTGATGTTTAAAACGAAGCTGTAACATTGTTTTTACATGATGAAAGGATTGTGGTGTCCTTTTCTGTTCATAACATGCAAGATTTCAGTACAGTTTGTACTTCTACTTACACTTAGGTCACATAACATAATTTGTACAAGCACATATATACACACCATCTGGGTATTTCTATTTTCTTTCTAGTTCTTATTTTGTTTATTTCACTTTATCTCCATGGTAAGTGGAACAGAAATTTCTTCCTCCGTAAGCCATGCGTGTTGTAAGAGGCGACTAAAATGCCGGGAGCAAGGGGCTAGTAACCTCTTCTCCTGTATATATTACTAATGTAAAGGAGAAACTTTCGTTTTCCTTTGGGCCACCCGCTCGGTGGGATAACGCGTGTGTTGAAGGAAAGAAAGATTATAGTAAGTGCTTTTGTAAGTGTATTTTTGGGAGGTCTGAAATGGGTTAATCTAATTTACATTATTCCTTATGGGAACAAATTCGTTCGGTAATGGCACTTGAACAGCCTTCTGGAATGAATTATGGCTGAAACTTGGGGTACCACTATACTAGAATTAGTTTGCCAGAAATGCCCCCCGGCATTTCTTTGTACTTAACAAATGAAAATTGTAATGACACACTGTAACTTTTGCAAAGAAATAAAATCTTTAATTTAATCTTTTAATCTTTAATAATAATGAAAATTATGCCACTGCTAGTCACAAATTAACACTTTAAAAGTCTATGACAGTAGACTATGTGCACAACAAACAAAGATTAACTCAGCACTCACATTCTTGCCCACCATCTCGATAGGGTACTGGCTGTACTGTTCAACGAAGCAGGCAGCCCTCTCAGTGAACTGTTCAGCCATCTCCTCACTCCACCACTGTGACACATTCCCATGCTTGTCATATCGTTTACCTGGGAATGACAGAAATGAAGCCGAGTAGTGTGGAAAGATGTGATATACTGTATACACACACACACACAACCACAATTAGGTGAGTACACACACTCAAGACTTATCACATCAATGCTTTTATCACACGTCTCTCCCACAAGCACACAGTAAGTAGGTTCTCAAGTCACCCTTGCATCCCTTACATGGTACAGGTCAGCCATCACTGATTTGGCAATCACTAATCCGGTTCCATCACTAATCGGGCATTAATTTCTGCTAGTGTAATTTCAAATTTCCTAGGTCGCCGCACCAACCTGGTGCTACTGTTGGGTGGCTGCCACAATCATAGGTTCCTGATATCTCAGTTACCTTCCAAGATGAAGAAGATGGAAATCCTGACAGCCTTTCACCTTAAGACATGTACATATGCTTAGTTGTATATCTCAGCTCTTCACTTTGGAAACAGCAGTGATGAACTTTCTTGTGCATGTCAAGTTGATTAACTTTATTAACCAACTTGTACTGATTTATGGGGTATTTTGAAGATAGGATGAGGTGGTTAGCTGTTGGGTGAAGTGTATTTTAACAACCACTCTGTCATCTGACAAAATCATTAATCTGGCACCCTACAGGTCCCAATGATGCCGGATTAGTGATGGTCAACCTGTACCATGTAAGTGTGTGCACGTACAAAGCTGTGTACTTGTGAGGAATGAGTTACAGCTCCTGGGTCCTTCCTCTCAACCTTCAACTGACTGATGAATTGGATTTCTACCTTCTTGATCTCTTATTATTATATGCACTCTTGAATTCATGTACAGAATACACTTGAATCCATGTACAGTGGACCCCCGCATAACGATGGCATCACATAGCGATTTTTCCGCATACCGCTTACTTTTATCGCAAAATTTTTGCCGCGCATACCGATTAAAAACCCGCTCACCGATTTTCGTCCGAGACGCGTCCAATGTGCCCTCAGCCAGCCTCACATGTGCCGCCCGTCCCATTGTTTACCAGCCAGCCTCCGCGGTAACATCCAAGCATACACTCGGAATATTTCGTATTATTACAGTGTTTTCGGTGCTGTTTGTGGAAAATAAGTGACCATGGGCCCCAAGAAAGCTTCTAGTGCCAACCCTGTGGTAAAAAGGGTGAGAATTAGTATGGAAATTAAGAAAGATTTTGAAGGGTTTGGGGCTAACCCTGAGAAGCCTATGCCAGTTGTGGAATCCATTGTGCCTACTTCAAAAATTAAGGAAATGTGTGCACAGTGGGTTGAACTGCAAACCTTTATGGATGAAAATCACCCTGACACAGCTGTTGCAAGCCGTGCTGGTGACTATTTCAATGACAATGTTGTGGCCCATTTTAGACAAATCGTAAAGGAACGGGAGGTACAGAGCTCTATGGACAGATTTGTTGTGCGACAGAGGTTCAGTGACTCTCAAGCTGGTCCTAGTGGCATTAAAAGAAGAAGGGAAGTAACCCCGGAAAAGGACTTGCTACCTCAAGTCCTAATGGAAGGGGATTCCCTTCTAAACAGTAAGAAGATAATGCTCTCCCCTCCTCCCATCCCATCAATCATCACCAGATCTTCAATAAAAGTAAGTGTCATGTAAGTGTGCATGCCTTTTTCAGTTTGTGTGTATTAAAATTAACATTTCATGTGGTAAAAAAATTTTTTTTTCATACTTTTGGGTGTCTTGCACGGATTAATTTGATTTCCATTATTTCTTATGGGGAAAATTCATTCACATAACGATTATTTCGCATAACAATTACCCCTCTTGCACGGATTAAAATCGTTAACCGGGGGTCCACTGTATACAGTACTCTTGAATTCATGTACTGTGCAGAGTATCTTGTTAATACCCATGTCTAAATGGAACACCAAAATCATGGCTTTCCTATGTCTTCTGTCTTTTACTGACATTCTCTTTATCTCCTTTAAGTCAGCTCTGGAACTAGTTTGGTGATATTGAGCTTAATTAACCCCCTTCACTGCTGCAGCCTTCAAAACTAAGTCCCATCAATGGCACAATTTAAAAATAAAATTTTTAATATGACAGAATCTCTTTCTAAAGGTAATGGCACCAAAAATGCAAAATTTAATGCAAAACTTAGAGAATTATCAGGCATGAAGCTGGATGTTGGGGAGCACTGCACACAACTGTATTTTTAATGACAAAAATAATCATAATCTTTATTTCCACAAGTACATAGTACAACTTATACAGATCTAGCCGACATCAATGACATGATATATAAAAAGCCCCAGGTTATGCAGAGAATTTTGGGAAAATTAGGTTAATTTTGTCCCTAGAATGCAACCCACACCAGTTGGCTAACACCCAGGTACCTACTTATTGCTAGGTGCAACAGTGGCTGTTTTCTGGCTGTCTTTACATCTGTGAAAGTAGCTTACTTAGGGCTTAAGCTCCTACAAAATACCCATAGCAAAAGACTAGTTAATGAATGTGCAATGTTCTCTGGCACTGTTTTGCTGCCTGAAACACTGCCTCCTCTTCCTGTATCAGATTTGAGGATAACTGTAACTTTGTTCCTTTATCAATGTAACAGTTGTCGTCCTCTCTTGACGTTTGATCAGCCCATCGCAGATCTTACCGTTTCTCTGGCTCTTCTTGAAGTTAAACTTAAATGTTTGCAACCCTTCATCAATTTGTCCTCTGTCTTCTGCATTTCTTTCTTGAATAAATCTCCCCCTTTACAGATTTTTAATGCTTTCTTAAAAACTCTAAATTTTAAATTCTCTTCAGTTCTACAATTTTCATTTCTATCTTTCCCTCTATCTTCATTCTATAATTTTTTGGCTCCTTCTTTCCCCACTATCTCACTCCAATGATTTGAATCTATCTTTGTCAAAGCACCTGCTGCATTTCTTTCTGGTATTCCTTCCTTTCACACCTCACAATCTTGTGATAATTTCCATATACTCTACCACTGTATATCTATTAGGATTTAATTTAATCTATAAGAAGAAAAAAAATTTCTTTTGAAAATTTACTGACCCTGAGAACAAGTGCATGATCAGGGGTCTGGACTCTGAAAGGGTTAAATAAGCATTTGTGATGACAGCCTCACTAAGCTTGAGGTCACTTGACAAGCTTCCAGTGACATACCAATGTCTCTCATTGGCCATTTTACAATCTTCACACCATTCCACAGCCTGTGGTCCTCGCCTATTGATTTCACACAACTAAACTGCTCATGTAAACAAACCATACCACTGGTGAGGTTTGAACCTGTGGTCAAAGAGTCTCAAAACTCCAGACCGTCTGGAGTTTTGAGACTCTCTGACCGTGGGTTCAGACCCCACCCGTGGTATGGTTTGTTTGTGATCGTGTCATTACGATTTCGTGAGTCATATAAACAAACTTTATTCGTCAATGATTCCATTTATATTTCGTTCCACACAGCCATATAATAAGGCATACTGACATGAAAATCTGAAAGTACTGTACATATATTTTACACATTTAGACAGAAAACAATTAATTAGCAGTCCGTTAGGATCAGTAAATACCTAATAAATTAGAAATTTGCCGAGACTGACCGTGATTGTCGAAGCCATGAACCAGCTCGTGCCCAACCACCACCCCGAGACTTCCATAGTTCAAGTACCTGATCAAGAAACAAGGTAAGTCATTATAAGTATTACAGTTTATTATTTACATCTGGTTCTCTCTCTGAAGCTCTCACTCTCACCTTCAAAATGTATTGTACCACATTGTGAGAAAAGCTTTTTTTTTTATTGATTAATAGATTAACATTTTTATGTACAAAGGTTCATTATTGAATGGAGTTTATGTTCAATGTGATTGATGCCATGCAAATTTTTCTATAGGGAAGAATCACTTACTGAATTTTTATATACTGCTGTACAGTATAAAAAAAATTGTTATGCCTCTGGAAGAGTACCTTGCAATAAGGTACACACACAATTGTGGTAATAAATTGGATTTTTAGCAATACAAGCAAGCCTCAATTTATCAATGTATATTTGAATTTCTGACAATGTATTATTCCCCACATCAATACACCTAAACAAAGTTTTAAGGTCACTCAAAAAAAAAAATTCACTATAAAGTCTTGACATGCATTCTCCAGACATATTTTTAGTTTTATATCTACTATATTATACCATGTTCACTATTATGCATGGTAGCAAATTCAGTATTTTTTTGGGGTCAAATATTTTTCACTGGTTAGCTAGATTTGAGTCCTGGAGGTGGGAGGTACAGTGCCTGCACACTGATGAATAGGTGGGGATACTGCAGTTTGGAGGGGCATCTTAGTTGTAACATTGGCATGCCTCTGACAAGATTGATAGCTTGAGTGATGATGAGTGTTTCGTCTTTTTAGGGTCACTACCTCAGTGAGAGATGGCTTAGTGTGTTAAAAATTTAAAGCTGTTTTTCAAGAACCAACTTGTATTATTATATGAGGCTTGCCATACGGTATATGAACAAATGTTTTGTTGAATGTACTAAATACCATAGTAACCATACAAGTAATATAATCCAACATAAGTAATTTCACTCTGAAAATTTAAATTGCCTAGTTACTTTATTCAGAACTATGATATAATGCATGAGTAATGAGTCCCTCAACGTGTTCCACCCACAGTTATACACACAACATTGGCTGTTATACTTCCATGGTACTGTGCAAGCAATGTTTAAGTTATACCTACAATTTTTTTTTTAAATTTTTATCATTCACAACCTGCAAAACAACTTTTTCTCTTACTGGATTTGCAGTATTACTGAACATACTTAAACAAGTGCCTTGATTTATGTACATTATTTAACCCTTTGACTGCTTGGGTCGTATATATACGTCTTACGTGCCACTGTTTCGGACGTATTTATACACGTAAATTCTAGCAGCTTCAAATCAAGCGGGAGAAAGCTGGTAGGCCCACATGTGAGAGAATGGGTCTGTGTGGTCAGTGTGCACCATATAAAAAAAATCCTGCAGCATGCAGTGCATAATGAGAAAAAAAAATTGACTTTTTTTTTGGATTGAAACGCCGACTTTGAGGTGTATTTTCGTATAGTATTTATCGTTGTATTCTCGTTTTCATGGTCTCAGGTGATAAAATGGAAAACATATTACAGAAATAGAGATGATTTTGATTAGTTTCACGATGAAAACGACCTTGAAATTGAGCTCAAAATAGCGAAAATGTTCGATTTTTACCAATGTTCTGGAGTAAGCAAATCACACCACACGTCCAATACACATCAACTGGGAAGACTAATATTCTTTCACTAGTGCACTGATATTATTTATACCATTTTTAAAATAATGCAGCAGTCTGCATAACAGTAAATGTTTTATTTTTTGTATGAATAAAAAATCAAAATAGAAAGCAATAGTAATATAAGAGAGGCCTAGAGACATGACTAATGAACAGAGGATGTGTTATTTTAGTGCCCAGAATGTCTACATGGTTTATTCTGGACCCTATTTGGAAATTGGGATCTTTTTTAGTTTGCTTCAAATTGGCCAAATTGCCAATTTCTGACCACTTTATTGGGTAGTTCAAATCGGTAAATGGGTGGTTTCTTGTATGCAATTGATAGATAAAATAAAGTTCTAAAGAAATAGCTATGAGTTTGGTCAACTGGAACAACAGACTTGGCAAAAATAGGGCTCAAAGTCGGCAAAATCGCCGATGCGTATATGTCGCCGAGACCGCTAATGTCGCGGGAGCGTAATTCCGCGAGTTTTCGACCAAATTTCGTACTTTTGGTGTCATTACCATCGGGAAAAGATTCTCTATCATTTCATAAAATAATTTTTTTTTTCCAAAAATTTATCTACATAGAATGACAGTTTCAGAAAGGAGCCTGCGACAGTCAAAGGGTTAAAATGTCTAATAACTGGATATCTGAATTAGTTTGGAATTTACTCAGGGAATTTTGACATCAAGATTTTGTATAAAATTTCAAGTTCTAGATCGACTTGCTCCTCTTGACTTCAGGGAGTACTTATGGCTATAAAAGGTGGAGGATGCAGTAGTGGAAAATGGTGCTGTGGCTGTTAGCAAACATTACAGTAAAACATTTTTCACTCTCCTTTGCTGTTTATTAATGATACAGTATCTCATTAAATATCACACAAACCTACTAGATACTCAAGCCCTAGCTCCTGAAACCTCCTTTACCCTTTCCCTTCTACCCTTCCTGAGATGACCCCTACCCAGTGGCAGATTTATTGATAATAGGATCAAGAGGCCACTTAGGGCCCCTGACTACTAAAGGGCCCCCAAATTATTAACCATTTGTTGCTTAAGCTTTCATGAGTCATGTCCCTGTCTGTAATGTTTGATTTTAATTCTGATATCAGAACACAACTTTTTAAGTTGGTCTCGCATTGTGTTCAACATTCATTTTTGAAAAATCAATTTATACGACAACATGCTTGTAGCAGGCCAGCAGCAGTCATATGATCAATCATATACATGTATCTTACTGAAATGTTAAAATTTAATTTTCAATTGTTCATTGGGCCTGAACAAGTGGGCCTGTTGCTGCTGTCAATAAATGACAGCAGCAACAGGCCCACTAAATGTTGTTCTGCCATGCCTCTACCCCTTCTTTCCATCCCAGATTTATGCTGTACTGAAAATAAAGCTACATAATATTAAGGCTTTGGAATGCATCTCTGATTATAACATCAGTGTCTATGGAAAAATAGGCTCCAAGTTCTAAACAGCTAACTTATGAATTATACAAGGTGGGGACCTACTGGATAATGCAATTAGTTCTGTATATGATTTAGTTTTGTAAATCCCCTCTTGTTTAACAAAGCTTGTGCTGTATTGTCTTGCTTTTCACACATCCACATTTTCCAATTCATACAAGCAAGTGGTCAGATGCTTTACTAGATTAGCTGTGGAGACCAAACCAGCTAAGCTTTTTGCCAGATAATTCAGCTCTTCTTTAAGCTTATTAACCCTTTTGGTGTCAGTCCTGTTATATAACATCTTTGAAGCCAATGTTGGTCCCGTAGTACAACGCCATGAGCTCAGCTCATTCAGATAAGCTGTGAGCAGTAAATCTGGGACTAGATACGAGAGAATGAGTCTATGCGATACGTGTGCACCACATAAAAAAAAATCCTGCAGCATGCAGTGCAAAATAAGAAATAACTGCAACCGTGTTTTTGGTTTAAAACGTTGTCTTTGGGGTGTATTTTTGCATGGTTTTTATAATTGTATTCTTGGTTTCTCGGTCTTATTTGATAGAATGGAAGGTATATTACAGAAATAGGGATGATTTTGATTGGTCTTGGGAACGAAAGTAGCCTGAAATTGGGCTCAAAGTAGCAGAAATGTTAGATTTTTGCAAATATTCTAGAGTACACACTTGTCCAATATGCATCTAACTGGCCAGGCTAATATACATTTAGGAATGCATTGACATTACTTGTACAATTATAACAATAATGCAGTAGTCTGCATAACAGTAAATCTTCTATTTTTTGTGTGAATAAAAATTCAAAATGGAGCAAGTGTAATATAATAGGGGCCTGGAGACGTCACTAATGAACAGAAAAGGTTTTTTTTTTAGTGCCAGGAATGTCTACATTGTTTATTCTGGATCCAGTTTTTAAACTGGCTATTTTTGAATTATGTGTGAAACTGGCCAAATTACCGATTTCTGATCACTTTACTGGGTAGTTGAAATAAGTAAATGGGAGGTTTCTTGTGCCCAATCGATAGAAGGAATACTAGTGAAATAGCTATGAGTTTGGTTAACCGAAACAATAGAATTAGCCAAAAATAGGGTGCAAGTTGGGAAAAATTGCCGATGTATAAATATTGCTTAACCTACCAACTTTGCGAGAGCATAATTTCGTAAGTTTTCTATGAAATTTCATACTTTTGGTTGCACTATCTTTAGAAGAAGATTCTCTATCATTCCGTTTATTTTTTTTAAATTCTTCACCCCTGAAAGCAAGTTTAAGGTCAGGGGTCTAGACCCTAAAAGGGTTAATAAGTAAACAAAAGCATCAAGGATGTGGATAGAAGTATAGATTAAATACAAATATTTTGACAAGTAATAAATAGTGAACATTTTTTAATGTACAGTAACTTGTGAATCACAATAACTATTAAGACAGTAAACCCTTGATTTAATGGATTAATAGAGGGGACTGTGTTGTAATATTAACAACAACAGACAATTCAGTAACCAATGGACTTTGCCCACGGTTTCTAAATTAACTGACTTGGTGGATTCTGGCCCATACTTCCCAAGCCCGTTAAATTCAGGATTTACTACAAATACTTAAAACTGTTGGGTTAATGGTATACAAAGCATTTTATATTTTATTACTGCCTGCTTTAATGATGTGCATTACTGTACACAAAAGATGTCCTGCTGGAAGTTCAATAACATACATAACTTGAAACAGGAAAAAATTGTAAATGGATTTTAATATTTTATACTCTGTCTTACACTGAAGTACAGTAATCTTAAATTTATTGCTTTACATTAAACAATCAAAAGAAAGAATTTGTAGTCCCTAAGAAAGGCATGTGTGATTTCATTTTATATGATAATGGGAGTATAGTCTTACATGGGATATCCTGGGTTGTAGAAAGGCTCTCGTAAGATCCCAAGTGGCAAGACTATTGGGGGATGGAAAGTGATTTTAGTTAAAATTATTAGGGCTAATTTGCCAGCCTGCCAATCCACACATTATGACAAATACTCTTATTTTCATACATTCAACCAAAAGTATATTTAGTACTGAATCACAAATTAACTGTAAGCAAAACTTTTAATTTGTATTATAAGTTCAGACTATCCAAGCTTTTGTACTTATAATTTCTTTTTTACAAGTACCAAAGTATAACACACAAGTGTGACATACACGTGACCGGTTTAGTGTTTGTTTTTTACTCTCTAAGCCAGGCCTGGGCCCAGCATCTTCTGCTGACTGCCTTTTCAACCTGGTTGCTGCTGTTGGGCAAATTGCTCACATGTCCATCACAGCCTGGTTGATCTGGTACCTGGTGAAGGCAGTGACACAGTGTCCTCTTTGAAAATATCTACACTAGTTATGGCAATGTTTCCAGTAACTGCTGGTAGCAGGTTGAATAGTCTTGGACTGGTATTGACAATGTTCTTTTATTGTGCATATGGCCCTGCTTTTCACTGGGTCTATTTTATACTAGGACTTCAAGTACCTTCCTTATATATATTACCAGGTATCTCTCCCCTTTTCACTCGAGAAAATACTGTACTTCATGTATTTCAAGGCATTCCATGTAGTTTTAATGCTCTATTAGCTCTATGAAGACAGTAAACAATTTCTGTAATTTTTCCATATCAACATTGAATTATATTCTAAACTAGAGGGCACCAGTGATGTGAACAGTTCTCATTACCCAACCTGTCAATTTTTGGCCTTCACAGCATTTGCTTTATTGTATACTCAAAATGATAGGCCATCAGACATTATTTTTAATGACTGAATGTTGACAAAAGGAAAGTGGATTTGCCATTTTGTATGTTTGGGTTACTGGGCTCTTTTAGTACCTCTGGTACTTTACCTTTTTATAATAAGGCACTTGGTGAACATACTACTATTCTGTCCAGTACTGGTTGTACTGCAAGCTGTTGTAGGGTTGCTTGTGCTGTATGAAAGACTACTTTGGTGTTTCACTGCCATATATCTCTGTAGCAGTTGTTGTTTTTCTTCTTTAAGATCATTTCTTGATGCCTAGAAAGTCATTTGTGCTTACCATGCACTTATTTTATTAACACAAAATTTTTATTGTATTTTTCTCACATGGAATTTTGGGCAGCTTAGGTCATAGCATTTTTGGGTCAGAAGTGATGATTTGCAGATTTCTGGGTGAAAATACCTAAAATTCTTAACAAAACACCATCCCCTCTTATAAAATATTATAACACTTTCTGGTGTGTGAGTATTTACATCTTACTCTATATGTGCAGATTCCTCTGTCACAGTAACTACATACTTCACCACTTTCTTCTTTCCTGTGGTAGTCACAGTTTTGTTTAATTTGAGGTGCTCGGAGTTTTCCTGTCTTTCATTAAATGTATTTCTTAGACTGTGCTGCTTTATGTTTGTGTGTTATTATCGTATCTTTATCTTAATGACAATGATATTTATTTATTTCTTGGAGCCATACAGATAATATAGATAAATGTATTAGTACAAAAGAATAATACCTATCAATATTGTATTACATGTAAACTACGTTATTTGTACTGCAAAAAATAAATAAATATTGTATTGTATAGTAGGCACAAAGAAAGCCTTTAATTATACAATGCATTTTAAGAATTAGACAAATATTATGTAAGACATTTTGTGTAGTTAACTACAATCATAAATACAATAAGAAAGGTATCTAATAACAAATGACCAAATACTAAAGAATTACATATTATTTAAAACTGGTTCAGTGCTCTTCAATTTTATGGATCGACTGAATAGTGGACCACTACTTTGTCACTAGTTCCATCTCATTCGTGCTCTTCTGCCCACATTTCTGCTATTTTCACTAGCTTGGTGATCTGTATCTACATACTTCATTTTCCCCACTTTACATGTGTGTCTGGTAAGCTCTCCAAGAAAGTCTTTTGTGATTCTGTTTAGTGCTTTTCAAACTTAATAAAGTAAGAAGTCAACAGTTTATGGAAATAACACAAATAAGCAAGAATACATGTACAGTAATCCCTCGACAGTCAATGGAGACATCCCTAGAGATCCTAACAAATACAAAATTCATGAATATACAACTAAATGCTGTCTGCATAATTTATTTTCAGATGTCACATTTCTTTAAATACTGCATTATCCTTGTGAATATTGATATTATAAAAGAAGGGTATTAAGAAAGAAGAGAAATTTGGGCATGGGAAACCTACTAAACATCCCACCAACAAAATTCAGAGATTAGTTTTCAATATGGAGGCTGTGCACCACTGTGAAAGAAAATGGGCCCCATGAAAATGTGCAAATGCTATAAAACAATTCACGAGAGATTCATAAAAAAAAAAAAAAAATGTAATTATCAAAAATTGAGAATTTAGAACCAGAAAATTTTGAGGGACTGCTTGTATATATATGTACTGCTAGTTAACTAAAGGTGACCAGAAGCTCTCAGCTATAACTACTATAATAGAATAAGGTGATGACTTGGCCCATCTATTCCTACACATTTCACTCTCGGACATATGTACAGTACTTGAAATTGGGAACATGAAGGAATATTTCATCAACTCTTTGGAACACACACAGCACCATGAAATTTCAAGTATACAAATCAAGTATGGTTACTCCAGTTCAGAACAAAACCTGCTGGAAAGTGGGAGTGGTCTGCTATGAACAATCATCACTGATAATGTATCATGAATGAATAATCACTGGAAAATGCAAGGAGTCCAGAAAACCATCACAACTCCTTCCTAAACAGTACATAAATTGGACCTCAAGACAGTAACTGTTGCACTTAATCATCTGGTAGCCATTAAATCTGTAAAAGTGTCATTCCAAAAACACTAACACTCTGGATGTTGGCATGGATGTAGATACAATCCTCTTCAGTATATTCATCTTCCCCAAACCCAAGAACAGACTCAAGGTAAAAATCTGAGCTCGACAAGCTCATGCAGTGACTAAATCAAGGACTTCAGTGCACTCAACAAGTAGCAGTACTGTGCACCACTCTCCTTGAAACCAAGACAATATTCCAATTATAATTAGATGGAACACACAACCAAAAACTACCTACAAAACTTCAACTGAAATCACTGCTACAGACAAGTGAATGCATCTAGCAGTGATTGCTGCAGGCAAGCAAGAAGATACCTGCAGCAACCTGGAAAAACATAATCATCTGTTTTGAGAAACTCTCTTACTGTATCAAGAACTATTTATGCTCATATGTCAACTACCCAGCAACTTTCACCCTGGTTCTATGTAAGACTATAAGACCATGCTCTAGTATTCTAACAACTACAAATGCAACAACCACATACTTCTGCCTGGTCAAGAACCATGCAACATACTGTCTGTTAACACTAGCTACATTATTATTGGAGAGTCCTGAGCACTCATCATCCTAAGATGCTTATTTACTCAAAACATTGCTTTATGACAAGACTCTTGGAAGCTTTGAAGAGACTTGGCTATACTTCGTAGATTAGATCTGACAAGCAGTGCCACAAAGGAGGTATTAGTGTGCTTCAGTAAGGCTTTTAATGCTCGTCTTGTCATTTATTACTCTGCTATATTCCTGAGGTTATGCATAAACTGAAGGACTTCTATAATAGTTTGTGTGATGTACAGACCTCAACAGTATGGTGCAGAACCAGTTAACCTTCCCCCCACCCCTGATGGACCACTTATTCCCTTTCATGGCAACATAATTGTCACAATTAATAATTTTGGGTGACTTATATGGTAAGTCACTGATGAAATTGCTGCAGGAAATTCTTGAAAATCTTTGTGAACGTTTCCTTCTGACTTTTTCCTGGGCTCAATTATGACTGATCTACATGATAACATTAGTTACTTGCACATTGTTTGGATATGCTTGTTCATAAAACAAAGCATGTACCCTCACTGATCATATCTCGAATCTTCAGCACAAATGCACTTGTCATCAGTAATATATGATCAAGCCTTCACATCAGCTTTGACTGTCTTTCCCTGCTGTAATGCTGATGATACCAAGTACAAGCTGTGGTGGACTTACCCAGGTGGCCAATATGACAATGCTTTTCAATAGAGAGAAAGGCAAGACCCTATATGTGAAGTATAGAAATGCAAATTAGTTATCATATTGAAAACATTTGCCTTAATACCAACAGAAAATTAAATTAATCTTGGCCTAAAAGTCCACCAATCATTAAAAACAGCACAGTAAGAGCCAATTAAAATCTAGAATAATCAAACTTATCTTTAAATTTAAAGGAAAAAACTGCCACACCAACAGAAGAATATTTTATCACTAAAACAAATGTTCAACACAAGACAAAATCTATCCTGGAAACGTACAAGCATATATTACAATAGAATAAGAACTACATAATTGATACTTCAAATGTGGAAAAACAGGTTTGATCCCACACAAATTTAAGATACTAAGAAGGTTATATAAACCTGGAGGAGTTCTTGGAGAGATCCAACATACGAGGGACAACTTCAATCTTGGCAAACTATGAGACACTCAAGATTTTTTCGTTCAGTGATAAACTTATAAAACAGTTAAACTGTCATCTCTGTCAAAGTAAAGACTCTACTGAAGTTCAAAAATCACACAGAAAAGTTATCTGACAGGTAAATACAGGTAAATTCATAATTCTAATGAGTAAATTAAAGATATACACAGAGGAGAAAAAAAAAAGTTCTCACTGATCTCATTGGCAGTGGGGTTGTGGAAGGCATTGACCACGAGAGGCTCTATCACCCAGTCCCTGTAGAAAAATGACAAATATTAATAACACATACTAATTATAGGCATACTGAATTCGTACCATGTGGGATTTTTGAGAAGCTGAACCATACAACCATTACATTTATTAAAGTGGGAATGCAAACAATATGTTATATATAGCTGGGATTTTACATACAGCAAGTCCTCTCATAATGTAACCCTACACAGAATTACTGACTGAATGCTGCAAATACTGAAAATGTTGGTGATTGATAATAAAGTGTGAAAAAGTTATTAAAGATAAGATGCATCATGTTGCACCTATGAAGGGGTGCAACTATGCAAATACATAATTATCAACTACTGCTTAAATTTTACCAAGCAAATTTTTATAAACAAAATATTACTTGGCCTATGCAGTACAGTATATAGTAAAATTAGTCAGAAGAGCTATGCTAAATTTTAAATGCTAGTTCTTTCTTCTTTCAACACACCGGCCGTATCCCACCGAGGCGGGGTGGCCCAAAAGGAAAAACGAAAGTTTCTCCTTTTACATTTAGTAATATGTACAGTGGAATCTCTACTTGCGAGTTTAATCCGTTCCATGACCTTGCTCGCAACTGGATTTGCTTATTTGCAGAGTCAATTTTCCTCATTTAAATTAACTGAAATGCAATTAATCCATTCCAGTGGAATTCTGTACTCCAATAATCTTGCTAATATCAACTCTACGGCTTATTTATCTATCTCACTTCATCTAATATGACATAATAAACAATATAAATAACATAGAAACCTGATATATACTCTAAAATGAATAAAATATGTCATTCATGTAGTGGTATGGGCAGTGTCGGCGGTGGACGAGAGTTTGTCTGCAGACCGGGCAAAATACTTCACGAATAATTTCGCTAATATCATCTATACGGCTTATTTATCTATCACAGTTCATCTAATATGACATAACAAACAATATAAATAACATAGAAACATGATATATACTCTAGAATGAATAAAATATGTCATTATGTAACAGGTGGAGGTGGCCACAACCGCTCCCTCTTTGTTGTGGTAAACAATGCCATCTAGTGACAGACTTTTGAAGCCATCTATTATAATTATTATATTTAGTACATTATTATTATTATTTTTTTTTAACAAGTCGGCCATCTCCCACCGAGGCAGGGTGTATTATTATTATACATACATTATTATTATGATTATTATTGTATTATATTATTATAATATTATTATTATACATATTATTATTATACATATTATTATTATTATTATTATATAAATAATTTGTAATTTTTATTCACACAAAAAATATAAGATTTACCGTAATTCCTTATTGCAATAATTGTATAAATAATGTCAACCCATTCATGACTGCATATTGGAATGGACAGTGATATCATTTGTTTACTCTGAAACAGTCAAGCAATGGACCATTTCAAGGTGCTTTTCGTCGTGAAAGCAATTAAAATCATATCTATTCCTGTAATATATCTCCATTCTATCAAATGAGACCAAAAAAACGAGAATACAACTCCATTATTTATGCTTAGATTTCTTTCATTTTTGGTGTACGTTAAGAAGCATCTTTCCATCATACATTACCCAAGTTTCAATAAGATAGTCCAACAAACAAATGAGATACAATTCCCGAGATCAAGAGCAAGAGTCCCTCACCAGTGTCAAATCAAATCAAAGTTTATTCTCTATGAGGATTACAATGCGGGGTTTGCAGATTTTGGTTATTGTGTGGTTTACATGTAATAAAATACTAATTACAGAGGGGGCCACTAGAACACCTAGCAAGGCTAGGCATTTCAGGCAAACTTAGATTAATTCTTAACCCTAAATTATTACAAATTGTGAAGTAAGTTGACTAAATACTAAGTGACTAAAGGAACCTGCCTTGAGGTCTGCTCGCTTGTGGAAATTTTGCTCGCATATGGAAGCAAAAAATCGACCCATCGACTGCTCGTATTTGGAAAAACTCGCACGTGGACACTCACAAGTAGAGGTTCCACTGTATATACAGGAGAAGGGGTTACTAGCCCCTTGCTCCCGGCATTTTAGTCGCCTCTTACGACACGCATGGCTTACGGAGGAAGAATTCTGTTCCACTTCCCCATGGGATAAATGATAGTTATGGAAACATATTTTAGAAAAACCTTCATTTGGTATAAAATGAATTTGATATAATGTTATGTATTCACAACTGCTGACTCATGACACTTAATAAATCCTACTGCTGATGAAGGCTACCACAGTACCTTTTTTTGTCGACTGGTCGAGAAAGTTTTTGTACATCCTTCCACACTTCATGTTTCTTCATCCTCAAGATGTTATTCAAGAAGTGATCCTCCAGTATATCCAACTGAGGGAAAATTTTTACTTTTATGTAACCAACTGTACAAATTATAAAGAAATATAAAAGCAAAATGAACAATTAAAGATCAGATAAAAATAAAAAACTGCTGTGAGAAATTAAAACTTTATGAAAACTAATGTAACCAAACATTTAATCAGGGTATCAATTCTAGATATATTTTAAAACTATGATAATAAGAGCAGTAAAGTATATTAACCCTTAAACTGTCAAAACGTAGATCTACGTTTTTTCAACATTTGAAAATATGTAAAAAAAGTAATTTTTTTTTTTTTACATTTGAAAATGTGTAAAAAAACTGATCTATGTTTTTTTTTTTGTTATATTTGAAAATGTGTAAAAAAATGTAGATCTACTTTTGGAGCACTATGCATGTGAACGTATCTGCCTGGACAGTTCAAGTCAGATCAAATCAAATCAAAGTTTATTCTCTATAAGGATTACAATGCGGGGTTTACAGATTTTGGTTAGTGTGTGGTTTACATGTAATAGAATACTAATTACAGAGGGGGCCACTAGAACACTTAGCAAGGCTAGGCATTTCGGGCAAACTTACATTAATTCTTAACCCTAAATTATTACAAATTGTGGAGTAAGTTGACTAAATACTAAGTGACTAAATACTAGTTTGTGACTTTAGCTATGTGAATGCTTTTGTTTTGGCACAATACATAGTTTCTATATTGGAGTATCACAGGCAAACTTGTGACTAGTTAGGAATCATTATTTTAAGATTAAGATACGTATTTCTGTGCTTATAGTCAAATGGGTGAGTGAGTGTAAGTGTGAACCACAAGGTGGTTTTTACGTAGTTAGTCGACGGGGTGTATCAGGGAGATAAGATGTTTTCTAACGGTAGTTTTGAAGGTGATGAATGTGTCTGCAGGGTTAAAAGAACTATAAAGCTATTCTTCTTCACTAAAATTAAGCATTCTTACATGATGTCTTTCACATCCTGTGAATTTTCATAGGATGAGGCATTTAGTCTCTGGTTTAATCTGCTTTAATACCATAATAAATGTAGAAGGAAATATGTAGAGGCTGTTTTGCACATCTGGATGGTGGATGGTGTAACTGCCATTGTCCATGTCTTCCAGTTTACTGACAATAATAATGGTCAATACTTGGACTAGTGCCAGACTATTACAGTTCTAAGAAAAGATAACAAGGAAGAATAGATGTGGTAGTGATTCAATTATACTGGATCACAATCCTTAAAAGAGATTTTAGTATTGTTTTACTAAGACATTGTTATGAAAAGTCACAGGAAACAAAACAGTGCACATACCCCTTCAAATTCAGCATCCAAGAGCTCAGTGGACTCTATATATTCTGGATAGCCAATTTTCTTCCCCATTATATCTAGCTGAAACACAAGAGCCCCACACACATCACAAAATATCATGATTAAATTACTTACAAAAGAAACGTCACAAGAATTCTATAAGATAGTGAATATTGAACTCTAATAGCGCTGTATAACCCTTGTAGTTTAGCACTTCTTTTTGATTATAATAATAATGAACTCTAATCCCAATATCAACAGCTCAATGAATCACTTCATGAAATGATGTAGTATTTTAAAAATACAGTGGACCCCCGGTTAACGAACTTTTTTCATTCCAGTAGTATATTCAGGTGCCAGTACTGACCGAATTTTTTCCCATAAGGAATATTGTGAAGTAGATTAGTCCATTTCAGACCCCCAAACATACACGTACAAACGCACTTACATAAATACACTTACATAATTGGTCGCATTTGGAGGTGATCGTTAAGCGGGGGTCCACTGTACATGTATTATTCATGAAAAATATCAGTCTTTTTATATAAGGTAAACAACTATTTTATTCCCTTAATCATGCATAATATGAAAAACAGTTTTCTGTTACAAAGTGCTAAATTCAGATGACTTTCAACATACCTTGTCACTGCAGACTTGCTTCATCTCCTGCTCGAGCCAGTCCTGGCGGTCAATTACCAAGTGAAAGGCTGTGCGCACTTCCTCCACCAGGTCATCAATCTGTAGTGAAAGAAAACTAGCTTATCCTTTCAGAGAACCATTTATGTTTTAGATATACTGAATATTAGTGTCATATTAAACTATTATCTTCCCTTTCCATAAGCCTCATGGTAATACCTATCTAAAACATTATTTTAATTAAAAGGAAAAAGATATATGTAAAATGTTTATAAGAGGATGAAGTTGATGTCTAGTGTGCACATCCAAACTGGTGCCCAGGGTATGAAGAGTGAGCTGTGAAGACATTACAAGAGCTTGATCTGCTGTCCCAGATAGAACATGACCAACATATGAAGAACTCCTGGGCATAGACAGGGCAAACAAGGAAAATATCTTATCAAAGGAACAAGAACAAGGGATCACAAAAGGAAACTGCACACAAGTGAACCCCAGAGACATTAGGAAACACTTCTTCAATTAAAAGTAGTAAAGTGGAATGTGCTACACTATGATATAGAAAAAGCTAACTCTTATGAAGAGTTCAAAAGCAAATACAGTGGACCCCTGACTTACGAACAGCTCCCAACTCGAACAATTATGTAAGTGTATTTTTGTAAGTGCTTCTGTAAGTGTATTTTTGGGGGTCTGAAACGGACTAATCTAATTTACAATATTCCTTATGGAAGCAAATTCGTTCAGTAACGGCACCCGAACAGCCCTCTGGAACGAATTAATATCGTAAGTCGGGGGTCCACTGTACTGGACAGCAGAACTAATTCCCATCAGTTAGGTGAAGGTTAAGAGGATCCAAGAGCTGGAACTGGTGCTCCACAAATCCAAACAGACATGATAATAAAAAGGTCAAAATGTTATACAACACAATACTGTACAATCCACATCACATAGCACGGTAGACTGCAGATTAAGATGGAATTTATGTTTCTCAAAATGGCATCTAATTAAAAAAATCATGTAAAATGAACTGAAGAAAATGTGGGAAAAATAGAGTTACATTCCTTTGATTCCCAAAAATGTTTCAAATTTGCTATCAAAAATAAACCTTACATTTTTGATAATGTTGCTTTTTGATCTAGAATTTTTTTTTTTTTATTATCACACCGGCCGATTCCCACCAAGGCAGGGTGGCCCGAAAAAGAAAAACTTTCACCATCATTCACTCCATCACTGTCTTGCCAGAAGGGTGCTTTACACTACAGTTTTTAAACTGCAACATTAACACCCCTCCTTCAGAGTGCAGGCACTGTACTTCCCATCTCCAGGACTCAAGTCCGGCCTGCCGGTTTCCCTGAATCCCTTCATAAATGTTACTTTGCTCACACTCCAACAGCACGTCAAGTATTTAAAAACCATTTGTCTCCATTCACTCCTATCAAACACGCTCACGCATGCCTGCTGGAAGTCCAAGCCCTCGCACACAAAACCTCCTTTACCCCCTCCTCCAACCCTTCCTAGGCCGACCCCTACCCCGCACTTCCTTCCACTACAGACTGATACACTCTTGAAGTCATTCTGTTTCGCTCCATTCTCTCTACATGTCCGAACCACCTCAACAACCCTTCCTCAGCCCTCTGGACAACACTTTTGGTAATCCCGCACCTCCTCCTAACTTCCAAACTACGAATTCTCTGCATTATATTCACACCACACATTGCCCTCAGACATGACATCTCCACTGCCTCCAGCCTTCTCCTCGCTGCAACATTCATCACCCACGCTTCACACCCATATAAGAGCGGTTGGTTAAAACTATACTCTCATACATTCCCCTCTTTGCTCCAAGGACAAAGTTCTTTGTCTCCACAGACTCCTAAGTGCACCACTCACTCTTTTTCCCTCATCAATTCTATGATTCACCTCATCTTTCATAGACCCATCCGCTGACTACGTCCACTCCCAAATATCTGAATACGTTCACCTCCTCCATACTCTCTCCCTCCAATCTGATATTCAATCTTTCATTCACCTAATCTTTTGTTATCTCATAACCTTACTCTTTCTGTATTCACCTTTAATTTTCTTCTTTTTGCACACCTACCAAATTCATCCACCAATCTCTGCAACTTCTCTTCAGAATCTCCCAAGAGCACTGTGTCATCGGCAAAGAGCAGCTGTGACAACTCCCACTTTGTGTGTGATTCTTTATCTTTTAACTCCACGCCTCTTGCCAAGACCCTCGCATTTACTTCTCTTACAACCCCATCTATAAATATATTAAACAACCACGGTGACATCACACATCCTTGTCTAAGGCCTACTTTTACTGGGAAAAAATTTCCCTCTTTCCTACATACTCTAACTTGAGCCTCACTATCCTCGTAAAAACTCTTCACTGCTTTCAGTAACCTACCTCCTACACCATACACTTGCAACATCTGCCACATTGCCCCCTATCCACCCTGTCATACGCCTTTTCCAAATCCATAAATGCCACAAAGACCTCTTTAGCCTTATCTAAATACTGTTCACTTATATGTTTCACTGTAAAACACCTGGTCCACACACCCCCTACCTTTCCTAAAGCCTCCTTGTTCATCTGCTATCCTATTCTCCGTCTTACTCTTAATTCTTTCAATTATAACTCTACCATACACTTTACCAGGTACACTCAACAGACTTATCCCCCTATAATTTTTGCACTCTCTTTTATCCCCTTTGCCTTTATACAAAGGAACTATGCATGCTCTCTGCCAATCCCTAGGTACCTTACCCTCTTCCATACATTTATTAAATAATTGCACCAACCACTCCAAAACTATATCCCCACCTGCTTTTAACATTTCTATCTTTATCCCATCAATCCCGGCTGCCTTACCCCCTTTCATTTTACCTACTGCCTCACGAACTTCCCCCACACTCACAACTGGCTCTTCCTCACTCCTACAAGATGTTATTCCTCCTTGCCCTATACACGAAATCACAGCTTCCCTATCTTCATCAACATTTAACAATTCCTCAAAATATTCCTTCCATCTTCCCAATACTCTACCTCTCCATTTAATAACTCTCCTCTCCTATTTTTAACTGACAAATCCATTTGTTCTCTAGGCTTTCTTAACTTGTTAATCTCACTCCAAAACTTTTTCTTATTTTCAACAAAATTTGTTGATAACATCTCACCCACTCTCTCATTTGCTCTCTTTTTACATTGCTTCACCACTCTCTTAACTTCTCTCTTTTTCTCCATATACTCTTCCCTCCTTGCATCACTTCTACTTTGTAAAAACTTCTCATATGCTAACTTTTTCTCCCTTACTACTCTCTTTACATCATCATTCCACCAATCGCTCCTCTTCCCTCCTGCACCCACTTTCCTGTAACACAAACTTCTGCTGAACACTCTAACACTACATTTTTAAACCTACCCCATACCTCTTCGACCCATTGCCTATGCTCTCATTAGCCCATCTATCCTCCAATAGCTGTTTATATCTTACCCTAACTGCCTCCTCTTTTAGTTTATAAACCTTCACCTCTCTCTTCCCTGATGCTTCTATTCTCCTTGTATCCCATCTACCTTTTACTCTCAGTGTAGCTACAACTAGAAAGTGATCTGATATATCTGTGGCCCCTCTATAAACATGTACATCCTGAAGTCTACTCAACAGTCTTTTATCTACCAATACATAATCCAACAAACTACTGTCATTTCGCCCTACATCATATCGTGTATATACTTATTATCCTCTTTTTCTTAAAATATGTATTAACCTATAACTAAAACCCCTTTCTATACAAAGTTCAATCAAAGGGCTCCCATTATCATTTACACCTGGCACCCCAAACTTACCTACCACACCCTCTCTAAAAGTTTCTCTACTTTAGCATTCAAGTCCCCTACCACAATTACTCTCTCACTTGGTTCAAAGGCTCCTATACATTCACTTAACATCTCCCAAAATCTCTCTCTCTCCTCTGCATTCCTCTCTTCTCCAGGTGCATACACGCTTATTATGACCCACTTCTCGCATCCAACCTTTACTTTAATCCACATAATTCTTGAATTTACACATTCATATTCTCTTTTCTCCTTCCATAACTGATCATTTAACATTACTGCTACCCCTTCCTTTGCTCTAACTCTCTCAGATACTCCAGATTTAATCCCATTTATTTCCCCCCACTGAAACTCTCCTACCCCCTTCAGCTTTGTTTCGCTTAGGGCCAGGACATCCAACTTCTTTTCATTCATAACATCAGCAATCATCTGTTTCTTGTCATCCGCACTACATCCACGCACATTTAAGCAACCCAGTTTTATAAAGTTTTTCTTCTTCTCTTTTTTTAGTAATTGTATACAGGAGAAGGGGTTACTAGCCCATTGCTCCCGGCATTTTAGTCGCCTCATACGACACGCATGGCTTACGGAGGAAAGATTCTTTTCCACTTCCCCATGGACAATAGAAGAAATAAAAAGAACAAGAGCTATTTAGAAAAAGGAGAAAAACCTAGATGTATGTATATATATATATGCATGTGCGTGTCTGTGAAGTGTGACCAAAGTGTAAGTAGGAGTAGCAAGATATCCCTGTTATCTTAGCGTGTTTATGAGACAGAAAAAGAAACCAGCAATCCTACCATCATGCAAAACAGTTACAGGTTTTTGTTTCACAGTCATCTGGCAGGACGGTAGTACTTCCCTGGGTGGTTGCTGTCTACCAACCTACTACTACTAGAAATGTATATTATTTACCCAAATCCTAAATAAAAACTTAAGTTACTAAAGCTTGTTTAAGGTGTTTAATAGAATATACTGTCAATCCTTCCAGAGATGGCATTCCATCCAGAGAAAACAAAGAAAGCTAATATACCACCAGTGACTATTATAAATTTAAAACACACTCTTATCAGCATAAGTGTGTGTTTTAATTTATAACAGTCAGTTTTCCATGCTGAATGGCTAGACCTCCAAATAATAGATCAAGGACTTTTATCCTTATATTTTAAGCATGGGCAGTTTGGCAGGGATGTTTACAGTGGCACCTTGGTTGCACAATTTAAAATTGTCAATCTAGCCAGAACTCAACACACACACTTGTTCAGGCTTCCCTTATCACATGCTGTTTTACAGTACTCAAAGGCTTTCCTCTTTATTTTGATGGAGTTAAGTGGTACACCTTTCCTGGTTTTTCTGCTCAATCCACTCATTCAAAAATCTTTCATATTTAGCTGTATGACCTGTGTCATTCTATTCAAGAGGTTACAACTTGGGTTACTCACTGTACACGTTCTTATCTTTGCCTGAATTCTTTTAATTGTACGAGGTGATGCTTCATTCAGACCAAAGGTTCATGCCATCTCCGTCACACATGATACACTTATACTTCTCAGCACTTCCAGCATAACTCTCATTCCTCTTGGGTGTCATGGCTACCATCCAGAGACGAGACGGGCTGACAAAAAGGCAAAATTGATTCACTGACACAAGTGGGATAAGTACGCATGCAGAACTGACAGTGTGGGGAATAACACAGCATGCTCTTCAAGAAAACACTGCAATTTTTCAACACTCTCAGTGAAAATGTGTTAACCCTTTCACTGTCAGAACCCCTGAAATTACGTGCTGACAATGTCGGGGTTTAACCCTTTCAGGGTTTCGGCCGTACTAGTATGGCTTACACCCCAGGGTTTTTGACGTACTAGTACGCCTAAATTCTAGCACCCTCAAATCTAGTGAGAGAAAGCTGGTAGGCCTACATATGAAAGAATGGGTCTATGTGGTCAGTGTGCACAGTATAAAAAAAAATCCTGCAGCACAGTGTGTAATGAGAAAAAAAACTTTGACCGTGTTTTTGGATTAAAACAGCGACTTTGCACTGCATTTTCGTATGGTATTTATTGTTGTATTCTAGTTTTCCTGGTCTCATTTTATAGAATGGAAGACATATTACAGAAATTGATTTGATTTTGACTGGTTCTACAATGAAAAGTACCTTGAAATTGAGCTCAAAGTAGCAGAAATGTTCGATTTTTACCAAAGTTCAAAGGTAAACAAATCATGCCAAGCGTCCAATACACGTCAACTGGCGAGCCTAATATTCTTTCACAAGTGCATTGATATTATTTATACCATTTCTACACCAATGCAGTAGTCTGCATAACAGTAAATCTTCTATTTTTTGTAAGAATAAAAATTAAAAGTGGAAAGCCAAAGAAATATAAGAGGGGCCTGGGGATGTGACTAACAAACAGAGAACTTGTTATTTTAGTGCCAGGAATGTCTTTCTTGTTTATTCTGGACCCTGTTCGGAAATTGACATCTTTTGAAGTTTGTGTGAAATTGGCAAAATTGCTAAATTCTGACCACTTTATTGGATAGCTGAAATCGGTAAATGGGTGGTTTCTTGTACTCATTCGATAGAAAAAATGGAGTTCTAGCGAAATAGTTATGATTTTTGTCGACTAGTACACTGGAATTGGCAGAAAATAAAGCTCAAAGTGAGCAAAATCACAGATGTGTAAACATCATTGAGACCGCTAACTTTGCGAGAGCATAAGTTTTCCATTAAATTTCATACTTTTGGTGTCATGATCGGGAAAAGATTATCTTATCTTTTCATAAGAAAATTTTTTTTTTTTTTTTTTGAAATTTGGGCGACCCTGAGAACAAGTCTCGGAGAGGGCCTGGCAACCCTGAAGGGGTTAAAAAAAAAATAAATAAATAAATAAAAAAAAAATGAAATGAAATGGTAGAATCTTTCTCTGAAGATGACAAAAAATATGATGAAAACTTAAGGGATTATGCAGCCATAAAGTTGGCAGTCTGGGTGCAATTTATGCATTAGCAATTTTGCTAACTGGGAATCCTATTTTAAGCCAATTTCATTGCTCAATTCAACCAAATTTTTAGCTATTTTGCTAGTATGCTTTCCATTCTGTCGAGTACAACAATCTAGATATTCAACTATCAAAGCTATCCTATATAGTAAACAGAAGTTTGGCCAATTTTAAACAAAATTCAACAAATTTCAATAAAAAAAAAAGTCCAAATTAACAAAATAAACACTATGCATTTCAGCAACAAAGGCAACCTGTCCTCTGTTCATTAATCACAGCCCTCCATTTTGAATCCATAAAAAAACAAAGTTTTACCCTATTTCTTGGATAATAAAATGAAACCAGGAATGATTGGTCATTGTTTAGGATGTCCCAGTAATTGAAGCAGACCTAGCAAAACCCATAAAACAGACCAAGGGAGACATGGGGTCTTACCTTCCCTCAGGAAAATTGTCAAAAATTTAATATGAATGCTATTTTGAGCTTCATTTAAAGTTACTTCTTCTTCTGAAACTGACCAAAATCATTTCAGTTTCAGCAGCATGTCTTCCATTCTATTAAATGATAACAAAAAACAGCCAATAAACCCATAAAAACCAAACCAGAAATCGCCTCAAATTTACTACTGTAAACCAAACACAATGTCTGAAGTTTGCTTTTCCCATCATGCACTCCATGGGGCAGGATTTTTTATACTGTTCACACTCACCACACAGACCCATTCTCTCATGTTTAGGCCAAAATTTACTTCTCAAGGCAAATATAAGGACGCAGTGCTTAAAACACAGATATACACAAGTGACACTGGCATCAATAATGTAGATCTACATAGGAGACAGTCAAAGGGTTAATAGAATGTTTCTTAATCAACAGTCTACTGTAACTCAAAAAATGCAAAACGAGCACACAATATGCAAATTTTATGTGTGTATACCTGGTATATACATACACGTGCAAAGGCCTAACACAAAGAACCTACTAAATCTCACAAAACAACAATAGCATGGATAAACATGCCAAATTAATGTAAAATTAAGTATGTACACTGCTGGGAAGCAAACCTCTAGTATGACATCAGGACAAGTACCATACTGTCTCTACGGTGGCTCAAATGTGTGACTCGGCAGATGATGCAACATCCCCCCAATGAAAAGCAGGGGTGTCACTAGCACGTTAAGAGACAATACAACAAGTGTCAGGGGCCCCGAGGCTGTTCAACTGCCTCCCAGCATACATAAGGGGGATTACCAATAGACCCCTGGCTGTCTTCAAGCAGGCACTGGATAAGCACCTAAAGTCGGTACCTGACCAGCCGGGCTGTGGCTCGTACATTCAATTGCATGCAGCCAGCAGTAACAGCCTGGTTGATCAGGCTGATCCACCATGAAGCCTGGTCACAGACCAGGCCGCGGGGGCGTTGGCCCCCGGAACTCTCTCCAAGTAAACTCCAGGAATGCTACGCCAGAAGTTTGCCTCTTGGTAAACAAAGTTACACAAGACAAAGTTTTCTCTCCGCTATCTCAGGATGGGAGATGACAACTAAAAGGAGTGCAGAACCTCATTTTATCAAGAGTTATTGCAGTTAAGTTGAGACAACCATCGCAAAGTTTTTCTTTTGTTACCGTATCAACTATCTCTTCAGAAAGCAGGGTAACCAAAAAAGGGAAACATTCACCATTATTCATTCAATCATTGTCTTGTCATAGATGCATTGACATAATAATCCAGATGACTCACTGACTGCAACATCCCCACCCTCCCTTCAAAGTGAGGGCACTGCTCTTATCATCTCCAGAAGTTAAGTCAGGCTAACTGGTTTTCCCTAAATCCTTTCATAAATCTTACCTTGCTCACATTCCAACAGCACACCAAGCATGAAAAATCACTTAGTCTCTCCACTCTACTCCAATCTGAAACTCACACAAGACTGCTGGATGCTCAAGCCCCTAGCATGCAAAACTTTTACTCCCTTCCTTCCAACCAATCCTGGGACAACCCATACCCCCCTCCTTCATTCCCCTCTGGATTTATACACCTTCATCCCATCCTTTGTCATTTTATAGTAACAAAATGAAACTATAGTACTTATTATCATAATATTATCATACAAAATAAATCACTGTCATGTTTATTGAGGATATGTTTTTGCACAAAGCAATTAGTGTATCTCATATTTACCGATATTTTGTGGCTATACAAAGAAGACACTACCGTACCTTCTTAGAGATCTGGTGGTCATAGTACTTCTCAACATACATTCTGGCAAGGGCAGCACCGAAGCCTTCATTAACAACACCTGCACATTCCTTCCAGCGGCTAAGGTAAGTTCGTTCCTCGAAAGGATCAGGCACCTGCAAACACAGGGAATGAAGAGTTGGGATACCGAAGAAAAAATTATTTAATGTATCCTACAGGTATCATAACCCCTAAAACACAATACTAGTTGTTTTGTATATTATTCACTCTTATACTCATTAGCATTTCACTTGAAAAGTTTTTACTCAAACTGTGTCCCAGTTCATGTAAAATAGGCTTATATTACCACCTAGTTTATCTAGTGATTATAACATACTCAGCTTCTTGACATAGTGCCTGTTTCAATTACAACACTGCTTTGCTGTTCAGTTACTGAGCTGCTGAAGCTTTGATGAACACAAAGTGCTCAGTTGAACTAGAAGTTTTCATCTTTATCATTTTCATGCATTTTTTTTTACTACTGTATTTTATTTTTAGAAAACTATTAGGTCACCTGTATTACTAATAAAATTATTTTATGTGTAGTATCTATACTTATATTCATAAACTCGTTATTCAAAGCAACTGGTAAAAGTGTCACACCTCACTCCTGAATTGCTGCCAGAGCTGCTGGAAGTAGTTGCTAATGTATGGCATGTAACGCAGCACGAACCTCCACATTAGGTAGTTCACGATCACCCTGGAGCAGGCAGGTATACATTTATCTCTAGAGATATATTATATTTAACTGACCTAAATTAAAGAGATTACTGTATCTACCGGGTATAAATCTATTTATAATGATGATCCATGCACATATTGTTGCCTATTTGTTTCTTGTGGGAGGGAAGAAGAGCGATTGGTGGAATGATGATGTAAAGAGAGTAATAAGAGAAAAAAAGTTAGCATATGAGAGAGAAAGATTAAGGAGGAGGTGAATGTATTCAGATATTTAGGAGTGGACATGTCAACAGATTTGTCTATGAAAGACGAGGCAAATCAAAGAAATGACAAGGGGAAAAAAGGTGAGTGGTGCACTGAGGAGTCTGTGGAGACAAAGAACTTTGTCCACAGAAGCAAAGAGGGGAATGTATGAGAGTATAGTTATACCAACACTCTTATGTGGGTGTGAAACATGGGTGGTGAATGTTGCAACAAGAAGGCTGAAGGCAGTGGAGATGTCATGTCTAAGGGCAATGAGTAGCATGAATATATGCAGAGAATTCATAGCTTGGAAATTAGGAAGAGGTGTGGGATTACCAGAACTATCATTCAGAGGGCTGAGGAGGGGTTGTTGAGGTGGTTCGGACATGCAGAGAGGCTGGAACAAAACAGAATGACTTCGAGTGTATAAATCTGTAGTGGAGGGAAGGCAGGGTAGAGGTCGGCCTAGGAAAGGTAAAGGAGGTTTTGTGTGAGGGGCTTGGACTTCCAGCAAGCATGCGTGAGTGTGTTAAATAGAAGCAAATGGAGACAAATGGTTTTTAGGACTTGACATGCTGTCGGAGTGTGAGCAGGGTAATATTTATGAAGGGATTCAGGGAAACTCGTAGGCCGGACTTGAGCCCTGGAGATGGGAAGTACAGTGCCTGCCCTCTGAAGGAGGGGTGTTAATGTTGCAGTTTTATAACTGTAGTGTAAGCATGCCTCTGGCAAGACAGTGATGGGGTGAATGATGGTGAAAGTTTTTCTATTTTGGGCCATCCTACCTTGGTGGAAAATGCCCGATGAGTTAATAAATGATAAAAATAATTAGTCTATTCATTATACTATATCTGAATACAGTAAACCCTTGCCAATCGCTTTTTCTATTTTGGCCTCAGTTTTGATGGACTACGGTTAATGTTTTAGGACAACTTCTGTCATCATGACACAGGCCCTTGATGCATCACAGTAGAAAATCAACACAGAACTTTATAAAGCACTTTAGTTTAACCTTATACACCTGCAAAATTTTTCAAGTTAACAACATATGAGTGCTTCTGATGTCCTCAACAAGCTTAAAAAAGTGCATTAAAAAAATGAGAAATCTCAGATACGTTAGTAACCCATAAAACTTTTTGCTCATTTTTGCCAGTGTGCTCCCAACCACAGTGATTAATACAGAACTGAAAAGTATCAGGTTTATTCTATAGATCAGGGGTTCATAACTGGGGACCAAATAATAGGTGTATGGTACTCAATCTCTGAACAATTTAAAAACAAAAGTTGTTAGATTAGAATACTATCACCTGTTCTGTTTCTAGCTATCCATATGTAAAGTAAAACCATGCTATTGACTTCTTTTGAAGTCATACTGGTACCTAATAGGACTGGTAATGATGATTTTAACAGTCTAGTGAAGGAGATATGGGGAACATATTGGGAAAGCCATTGAGGATCTTTAACTGTAAAAAGGTTCAGTACCCCTACTATAGATAAAGTGAGAAATATTGGCAAGTCACCTTTTACTTGCTACCCTTGCTGAGCTAGCAATAAAAAAAATAGGTAACTAAGCATTAGTCAACTGTTGTGCACTGCACACGTAGAGAATTTTTTTAATGCAAATGTGAAAGAAACTGGTCCAGCTAGAAGAATTGTAGTGTTGGCAGAAATAGTATCCTGACACAGCAGTGCTTTTAATGATTAAAAAATTCCCTGTTGTGGAATATTTCCTGATTACAGTAATTAGTATGCCTACTAAAACTTTTTCTAATATTACACATTTTGTATACTTTGTTCTGCAACTACCATGTATGTCTTTCAATTAATTGAAATGACCTGTTGTAAAGTATGGCCATGCAGATTTATACAAGTGATTAGAATTAGTGAATACTATTATATAAATGATTAAGAATTAGAGAATACTATTATATTTAGGGAGATATGGCAATGGGGCAGTGGGAGGCAATTAGGTTTGATCCAAGGCAGGAGAAGACAGAACCAATTCTTTGCATGAAGATCCCTTCATTATCAACAATCCTCTCTTGATGGTGAAGGAATGAAAATGATGAAGCAACATCAGCATTTTGAGCACAGTTGGTTTTCTAACATTTTATTCAATAGGTGACTACTCTTTGTATGTTATTTTAAATTAGAAAAAGCTAATTTAACATAGATTAACCAATTCCAACAGAAAATAAAAAATAAAAATACCTAACTGGGTAGTATGTTTACTTGATGTAAGAGTGGCCAGAGGGTAAACAAAGAAACGAATCACAGTAAACATCAGGAAACCAAAATTCCGCCTTCAGTAGCAAATAATATTTTCACGTTTTTAATACTAAAGAATAAAGACTCAATTTAATCCACAAAACATGGAAGAAATACATTCTATACATGTTTCATATGTGTATTTGTGCAGATAACTTTTGAAATTCATGAGAGATCCTGAAAACCTTCAGTATGTTGCAAAAATCTACAAATTAGGCAATTTTCAGCAAGCCTTAAAACCTCTACTTCCCACTGAATTAACATCTTGTCACTTGCAATTTTGCTATTTACTAAGCTTTCATGGAATGCGACTCATGAATGGCAAGGGTTTACATGCACGGCATACATATTTCTTCACCTGCTTTCGAATTTTCTGTTTCTAGATATTTTTATTGCCTAAATTAACGGTTAGACAATTAATCCTGTCAACCTACAGTATCTACTTTCCTGCATTTACATTCGATGCTTTGAAACCAGACTATTTTATTTTTAAAATTTCCACATATACGTATCTTTCTGTCAATATTTAATGTAAATTTATCTACTTTTACACTTATCATATCAATGAAAATCTCACTGATTTGCCATTCAGTTATTTAACCTGATGCAAGATACGACAAGGTTACTGCACCTCTTGGGCGTGCTAGAAAGCAACTTGACTAGGTCAGGAACATAGGCATTGCAGTGGAGAGTTATGATCAGGGAATCCACATCAAGGTCCAGCTCATACTCCTCTAAAGTGTACCTCAGCATGCGACCCCACGCAATCTGAAAAGTAAAAAGAGGGACAAAAAGGCTCACATATTAAAGCATAAAACAGTGATAATCAATATCATGGAGAAGTATATTTAACATTTGGCCCACAATTTGGAAAGGAAACGTTGGACAACATTTGAGTCTGCCCTGGGTCATTGTCAAGATGCAGAATACATAATGTTTTGAAGAGAAAAATTGTGTATTTGCCTTGGAAAAATATGAGTATGAGTCATAGTTTGATAGCTTTACTATGCACCCCATGCTCATCCTGAAGGCAGTAATTAAAAGATTACCGAGGTCCATAATGGAGGCCCGACATGTTTTATAGCTAAGAAAGTTTAAGTGGTTATGAACTATACTGTATTTACAAACTTAGGAAAAATAATAATAATAATAATAATACATGTAATAATTTTATTTACTACAAGGTATACAGGCCTAGCTGACATCAATGACCTACTACTACAAGTACCATACAACTTACGACCTGCTCGACATACGACCACTCGTACTTATGACCATATGTCTGGCAGCATATACAGTAGTAAAATATTTAGTAAAAAGTAACATACGATACTATGTACGTAGTTTATATAGCAAAGGTTTGATATTATGCCCTTCCCAGTATGTCAGCAATTTCCTAAGGTTCGAATTGCATCCATTTTGACTTGTGACTGGTTGTCGGAACCAAACTCGGTCGTAATTTGGATGGTACTACTCGTATATAGAAAGCCACTAGTTATGCAGAGCATTTTGGGCAAGTTAGTTCAGTTTTGCCCCAGGATGTGACCCACACCAGTTGACTAACACCCAGGTACCCATTTTAATGATGAGTGAACATAGACAACCAGTGTAAAGAAACATGCCCAATGTTTCTACCCTCGCTGAGAATCGAACCCAGACCCTCGCCGTGTGAAGCGAGAGCTTTAGCCACCATGCCACGGGGCACCGTAACGATTTATAACGAATTGTAACGATTACAGCGGGTTTACAGAGAAATGAATTCAGTCACAAAACCATTACACTGTAGCTCGTATGTGGTCATTAGTTATTAATACTGTATTACTTATTACGTATTTTAGCAAGATATGGTTGAATATAGAAAAGTTTAAGTGGTGAAGAGTTATTCATAATTGGATAAGAAAAGGTATACATATTACTAAAATCAAATAAACACATTGCACTTTAATATTGTCCCCCAGGATGCAACCCACAACAGACAACTAACATCCAGGTACCTGGAGCATACCTGGAGAGGGTTTCGGGGGGTCAATGCCCCAGAAGTCCACTCTGTGACCAGGCCTCATGGTGGATGAGGGTCTGATCAACCAGGCTGTTACTGTTGGCCGCACATAAACCGACGTAAAAGTTAAAAACAGGTAAGTATCTTACCTAAATATAACTATGTATACCTGTACCTAAATAAACTTACTAAGTGGAAATTTGTAAATTTGCCTGTGACGTGTATGAAACAGAAACAAGGTATCTATTAAATACTACAGAAAAAAGTCTGCACAATTTACTATGTCATCTTTCATATCCAAGAGGCCAAAATTAACTTACTATAGGTAAAAATCTGCTCGAGTTGTGGCATGTGACACCATCATCCTGCCGGAGACTCCAGGACCTCCTTAGAACCCCCTGTGCGCTATATAGCCCTTGTGGCTTAGCGCTTCTTTTTTATTATAATAATAATAATCCTTAGAACCCCCATGAAACTCCCCGAGGAGCCCCGGGACTCACCTCAGGTACCATCTGCTCCAGCTGTGACACAGTCATCCTGCCGGAGGCGTCATCGTCCTCCGTCAAGGAGTCCGTCATGTTGCCTCCCTCACTGCCGCTGCCACAGGCTCGGCTGTCAGAGATCTGTACGAGCGAAACAGAGATCTGTACGAGCGAAACAGCGCACTCAAGCACAGCATTGCTCTATCAACACAACGTCTCGCTCAAGTACAGCTTTATTGCACAAATAATAAGCTCTTCTCCAACGAAATATAAGTCGTTCATTTGTCAAGGAACATTAAACCCGATTAAATATCGGGGAACTAAATAAGATGAAGACAGAAATGAACTGGTACCATCATTATTATTAATGGTATCAATTTAGAGAATCCGTAGTTTGGAGATTAAGGAGGTGAGGGATTACCAAAACTATTATCCAGAGGGCTGAGGAGGGATTATTGAAATGGTTTGGACATGTAGAGAAAATGGAACTAAACAGAATGACTTCAAGAGTGTATCAGTCTGTAGTGGAAGGAAGGTGGGGTAGGGGTCGGCCTAGGAAAGGTTGGAGAGAGGGGGTAAAGGTTTTGTGTGCGAGGGGCTTGGACTTCCAGCAAGTATGCGTGAGCATGTTAGATAGAAGTGAATGGAGACAAATAGTTTTTAGGACTTGACGTAGTGTTGGAGTGTGAGCAAGGTAACATTTATGAAGGGATTCGTGGAAACCGGCAGGCCGGACTTGAGTCCTGGAGATGGGAAGTACAGTGTCTGCACTCTGAAGGAGGGATGTTAATGTTGCAGTTTTATAATTGTAGTGTAAGCGCACCTCTGGCAAGACAGTCATGAAGTGAATGATGAAAGTTTTTAGGTGTTGAACACAGGCATTCCTTGGATCGTCAGATCTGCCTGCATACTGGTGTTCTGAAATACGTGTTTGGAGGTCTCTGGATGTTTTGCCGACGTATAATTTGCTGCAGCCATTCAAGGGATTGTGTATACCCCTGCAGAGGATTGAAGCTTGTCTTGTCTATTACTGGTAATGTCCTTGATGGTGGTGGATGTGGAAGTAGATACTTGGAAGAAGACACTGCCGAGAAGAGATACATAGTCCTCCCCACCAACTCCATTACCAAACACGTTTCCAACATCTCCAAAACCTCATTCCAAGTATCTACTTCCACATCCACCACCATCAAGGACATTACCAGTAATAGATAAGACAAGCTTCAATCCTCTGCAGGGGTATACACAATCCCTTGAATATTTGCAGCAAATTATACGTCGGCAAAACATCCAGAGACCTCCAAACACGTATTTCAGAACACCAATATGCAGGCAGATCTGACGATCCAAGGAATGCCTGTGTTCAACACTGAAATTCACACAACCATCTAATCAACTACAGAAAGGCAAGACTTATCGCCAGAGAAGACAACACTCAATACCGAAGAATCCTGGAATCATCACTTATCTGTACATCCAACAACTTCAACCAGAACAACGGTTTCTATATCATAGCTGAACCTCTCGCCAATAAACTTCTTCATCGCTATCCCACATAAGAACATAAGAATCGAGGAACACTGCAGAAGATCCACTCATGTACTTATCCATTCTCTTTTAAAAGCTACCCAAGATTTTAGACTTCTTCACTCTACTCCGAAGATTGTCACGTGCAGCTTTCTCCACCTGACCCAGCATTCTCATCCTATGTATAGCCACGTATGTTTCACTCAGGTAGATCTGTTTGTGATTTGATAAAGCCCACTGTGTGGGCGAAACGTTGTCAATAAAGGATCACATTATACTGCTTAAGTGTTCATATTTCCACTGCATAGCTTTTGCAGTCTGCTATTTTATGTCATTCCTGCCATTCATTACTACTTCATTCCAACCATCTAAAAGTCAGCTTTATTCCAGCCATCTACCACCATGTCATCCCATCTCCTTTTTTGCCCCTTGCCCCCTCCCTTCCCCTTGCCCCCTCCCTTCCCCTTGCCCCCTCCCATCCCCTTGCCCCTCCCCTTCATCCTCTATCCCCCTCCTTCCTTTCCATTGCCCCTCCCCTCCTTCCTCTAACGTCTCTGCTTCTTCTGAGGTCACTTTCTCCACTCACTTGCCAAAGTAAACTACGTCTTCAAGATCATCATCTCCTGGAGGCTGAATATAGCAGAGCTTCTGGAGAGTGTGTGTATGTAAGGAATCTCTTCTTCCCTACTCTCTCCTCTTGCTTGAGGTACCCATCTTTCCTACTAAGCCTGTGTGTCATATGACATTGAATATGGTAGTTCCAGTGAAACAGTGACTGCAGTCCAGCTGGAAGGAGATTTTTCAAGCTGTCGTAGCTACTGAATCTTTAGCTGAAGTCTCCCAGCTCAGCTCAGGCTAATGGATTTCATTTTGTTGTCTGTAAACCCAGCATGCGACGGAGTACAACAGGAAAAACCATCTTGTGTGATGGAACGTGGCAGGAAAAACATCCTATGTGGTGAAGCATGAAAGGGAAAACCATCCTATGTAATATATGACAGGAAAATCAGCCTGTATCATGCAGGGTGTAATGAGAGGAACAACCATCCTGTGTAATGAATGTTAGGTACACAACTGTTGCATACCGTAACCTTGTAGAATGTCACACATAAGGATAGCCACACAATGCGGATGTAATAATTATATATATATATATATATATATATATATATATATATATATTATATATATATATATATATAATATATATATATATTATATATAAAGCTTCCCAATCACTTTTTCAATATTTATGTTATAACTAATTTTTAAAGGGGGTGGATCGGTAAGCCAGCGGAAGGCCTCGGTCGGATGACAATAAGCTCCAGCTGCGGGTCATCATATGGCTAAGACCCGACCCGCGTCAGGAAATAATTATCCTGTTTCCTGACCAACCTTACCTAACCTAATCACTGTCATTCATCAACACACAAACTGCATAACAATGATCTTGTCCCTTCCTTTCCTCCTGCTGGAGTCTCAACTCCAAAAGCCGATGGAAGGACAGGAATATTGGAAAAAAATTACAGGTTTTAAGAAACATTGTAACATATCAAGAAAGTACAAATTACAATTTAGACGTTAATTTTTTTCTTTTTGAGAGGATGAATTCAACAGGAGAATAAAAGTGACACTAGTATGGGTGTGACGGATGGGGTGCAAAATAAACTAGCCACTTCGGTGGAAGAATCAAAAAATCTGACGGGTCACAATAACCCATTAACTGCAAGAGGAAGCTGAACGACATTGCAGTTAGTGACGTTGTTCAGTTGTCATCTCCATTGTGTGTGTTGTGACTTCACTGTGAGAGTTATGCTGGGATATTATGAAGCTGTACAAAATTATAATGTAAACTGCATTGAATAAAACATTTGTGTGGTACGAAAGGTGGAAATAAATGATGAGTAAAAGCGGTAGTTAACAAGATTCGTTTAGTTTGGTGAAGCAAGTCCTAGAAAAGAAAGATAATGTTATGTGTAGAGAATATGATAATATTCACCCTATTTATATATTGGAATGTAGCAAATTACAACAATACAAAAATAATACCACTAATATTTATAAAGAATCTTCTTCTGTTAAACAGCATTTACAAACATGAAGGATTTGCAAGAAAAAAAAATTTACTCTACCTGACATCTCCAACCAACGTAGGAATGGCTTAAAAAAACGAACATATTTACCATCATTCAGTCCGTATGTGAATTATAGTGATAATATAATGTGTGAATGTCACAGCAGCCAAGGATAAAATTAATATCGCTATCGGTTTCTTGGGCAACGTCACTCTTGGGCCAAGAGTGACGTTGTCCCAGAAACTCGACCCTCGAGGCCAAAAACCGGGGAAAAAAAATCCTTCTATCATGTGTGTCCTTGTCTTGCTGAGGTCAGTGTCACTCACCAGAGCAAATTTGGTCTCGAAGGCGATGAGTTCGTCGACGTGTGAGACGTTGATGGACTGGTCAGGTGAGAGAGCTACCGCTGTCTCCTCCATGAGTGCCCTGTAGGCGGCCATGTAACCAGCGTACTCCTCATTCGACGTGTTTAGGAAGTAGTTTCTGGCCAGCGCTGGCGACCCCTTGTAGAACTGTGGGGAGAATGAGAGTGTGTGTAGCTGACTGTGGCAGTGTTGTAGGAATTTGTGGGAAAAAAGAACACCTGTGTATACAGCTCAGAGCAGAAATGTCCCTTTCCACTGTTCGTCGGTACATTTATAACCTGTACGAACATCAGTGGGTGAGTGGAAAAAGACATTTATGTACAGTTTAGGACATTTATTAGGGAAACGTTGCGCTACGAGTGGCTTCACTCGTGGCGAAACGTTTCCTCTGTAATAAATGTGCTGAACTGTACATAAACGTCTTTTTCCACACCTTGTCGGTATCACCATACTATTTTTCATTAGCGGGTATATTGTAGGGCCGATACCAGGACCCACCCCTTCCGGAATTCACCCATCCCAGCACCCACCTGCAGCGTATACATAGTGGAGTTCCTCTCGTCAGGAGTGATGTAGGAGTCGAGGAAGGTGTGGACCTGGTAGAGGGTGAGCTGAGCCAGGATTCGTTCCAGGTTGTAATGACTCTCATTCCAGCGGTCAGGAGCCAGCAGCGGCCACTGTCCCAGCTGCTCCGCCGTCAGCAGGTCGAAGATGGGAGAGTCTGCCATGTCCTTCTCGTGCACAGTGAAACCTGTATCAGGAGCTACATTGAGCTTTGAAGGGCTTTTTATAGTTTTGCTATCTAATCACAATTGGGTACACTCGCAGTGTGTTAGTGCTCTACCTGTTAGGGTTACATTGTGTGTACACTCGAAGTGCGATGTTACCCTATCTATATGATAGTTACATTCTGTAAGATGGGTTTAATGCGTGAAGAAACAGACGTGTCAGCCTTAGCTGGAAGACTTCAGTAGATGCGACAGCTTTTAAGAGGTTTCCTTCCAGCAGTGCTGGAGTTACTATTGCACGGGAATTACCATAACTCAGGACGCCTCATTAACACCCTCCCCCCCACATACACAAACACAAGAGTAGGAAAAAAATAATATGACAAAAGGGAAAATGACGTGCTACAGGGAGGAAGTGGAGTGATATAAGGAGGAATATAAACTGGGGAATGAGATGTAGGTTTATTTAGGTACGGGTATACCTAAGTACAATTATCATAAATAGTAACGTATGCGTGAATTATCTAGGATAACGTCAAAAGATGGGAAATTCAATGATCCCAGACTATGCTTTGTCACAAGAGAGTAATAATGACATGATGGGTAAAATGGAGGCTTTATATTGGGACGAATATTTTACAGTGGGGAAGTAAGACAAAGACCCCGTTGGAAATAAGTCAGTTTGATATTTTTGGGGTTATCCTAGGTAAGTTACACTGCATGATAATTGTAATTATATGCACCATTGCCTAAATAAATTTATTTACAAGGGACAAAGATAAAATTGAGAAATTTCGTAAGGGAAATCTTAAAATAAAATATAGGAAGGGAAAACAATTTTTTATAAAGGGTAATAAAGAGCTATGAAGGGAAATAAAGTGGTATAAAGAGAAATAAAGAGGGAATAAAGTAATACGAAGGGAAAATAAGTAGTATGAAGGGAAAATAAGTAGTAGCATAAAGGGAAATCGGAAGTAACGAATTAGGAAGAGAAGCCTGGTAAGAAAGGAAGGAGCAGAGAGAGTGAAAGAGGAGAGGGAAGTAGCCCATTAAATCAACTGCTACAGGAGGAAATGGAATGTTTCAAGGAGTTATCACAGGGGGAAATTAGGTAGCGCCGGGATTGCAGTGAACGAGACGCAGCGCAGCGCAGGAGCTGCATGAGGCAGTGAAATGCTATACCTGAGATATTCGAAGTGGAAATGACTGCTGCGGAGACTAAGAGAGAAGGAAATGAGTTGTGGCAAGAGTAGTGTGGGCGTGAAATGAAGCTAGGGGGGAGGGGGTTGTGATGATGAAGAACGGGAGTGGGGGTCCGGCCCCTACCTCCCTCCCTCCCTTCTGGCACTTAAATCATACACACTTATCACAGAGAGACAATTAGTTTATCGACAAGTTCTTTTGACAATAGGTAACTAAAACAGACAAACACACACACACACACACACGGATGAGCTGTGACTAGACCCCTGCAACCACATGCAGGTGAGTACACAACATACAGACGAGGACAACACAGTCAGTCCCACACACAAGCATTCTGGTATAACCTAACACATAGAACCCTCCCCCCCCACTAGCAACTAGAACTTTATGGGATATATACCTAAATTAGTGAATATACACTTAATCTAGTTGATATGTACCTAAACTTGCTTATATATACCTAAACTAGTGGATATAGACCTAAACTAGTGGATATATACCTGAACTAGTAATATACATATATTAGTGAATATGTACTTAAACTAGTGGTTATATACCTAAACTAGTGAATATATTCCAAAACTAGTGGATATATACATAAACTAGTGGATATATACCTTTACTTAGTGGATATATTCTATACTAGTGGATATATAGCTAAACTAGTGGATACATACCCAAACTAGTCGATATATACCTAACTATTGAATATATACCTAAACTAAATTATAGTCAATCATCATCAACATTATCATTAATCATAATCATCATCATCATCAATCATCAATCACCACTATAATTGTGGTATAACATAAGCCGAGTCGAGTTATGCAGAGGTAAATTTAACCACTCATTACCAACAGTAACCTTAATTAGAAGAACTAGCAATATTAATTACTCTAATGAACACCTCTATGTACTCTCTCTCTCTCACTTTGTTAGTCTGTCTGCGTGTGTGTGTGGTGTGTGTGTGTTGTGTTGTTGTTGTGGTGTGTGTGAGTATGTGTGTGTGTGTAGTGTGTGTGTGTGTATGTGTGTGTGTGTGTGTGTGTGTGTGTGGTGTGTCTTCTCTCTCACGTCTGCAGAAAAATCTACAGAAAGCAGGAAGTAAAGAAATAATTTATTAGAAAGAGAGTGAGAGAGAGAAAATCCAAACTCACAATTCAGGCAGAAAAAAGGTCAATGGATAAACGGGAAAACAGGGACACGGTACTCTAGTGGTGTTTGATGGTACTCTGGGGTGTTGGTGGTACTCTAGTGGTGTTGGTGGTACTCTGGTGGTGTTGGTGGTACTCTAGTGGTGTTGGTGGTACTCTAGTGGTGTTGGTGGTACTCTGGTGGTGTTGTGGTACTCTAGTGGTGGTTGGTGGTACTTGGTGGTGTTGGTGGTACTCTAGTGGTGTTGTGTACTCTGGTGGTGTTGGTGGTACTCTGGTGGTGTTGGTGGTACTCTGGTGGGGTTGTGGTACTCTGGTGGTGATGGTGGTACTCTTGTGGTGTTGGTGGTATCTGGGTGGTGTTGGTGGTACTCTAGTGGTGTTGGTGGTACTCTGGTGGTGTTGGTGGTACTCTGGTGGTGTTGGTGGTACTCTGGTGGTGTTGGTGGTACTCTAGTGGTGTTGGTGGTACTCTAGTGGTGTTGGTGGTACTTCTGGTGGTGTTGGTGTTATCTAGTGGTGTTGGTGGTACTCCGGTGGGTGTTGGTGGTACCTCTGGTGGTGTTGGTGGTACTCTAGTTGGTGTTGGTGGTTACTCTGGTGGTGTGGTGGTACTCTGGTGGGGTTGGGGGTTACACTAGTGGTGTTGGTGGTACTCTGGTGGTGGTTGGTGGTACTCTAGTGGTGTTTGGATGGTACTTAGTGGTGTTGGTGGTACTCTGGTGGTGTTGGTGGTACTCTAGTGGTGTTGGTGGTGCTCTGGTGGTGTTGGTGGTACTCTGGTGGTGTGGTGGTACTCTGGTGGTGTTGGTGGTGCTCTGGTGGTGTGGTGGTACTCTGGTGGTGTGGTTGGTACTCTATGGTGTGGGTGGTACTATGGTGGTGTTGGTGTACTCTAGTGGTGTTTGGGTGGTACTTAGTGGTGTTGTGGTTATCTAGTGGTGTTGGTGGTACTCTGGTGGGGTTGGTGGTTCTCTAGTGGTGGTGGTGGTACTCTAGTGGTGTGGTGGTTACGCTGGTTGTGTTGTGGATGGTACTCTAGTGGTGTTGGTGGTGCTCTGATGGTGTTGGTGGTACTCTGTGGTGTTGGTGGTACTCTGGTGGTGTTGGTGTTACTTCTAGTGGTGTTGGTGGTACTCTGGTGTGTTGGTGGTACTTGTGGTGGTGGTGGTACTCTGGTGGTGTTTGGTGGTACTCTTGTTGGTGTTGGTGTACTCTAGTGGTGTGGTGGTACTCTAGTGGTGTGGTGGTACTCTGGTGGTGTTGGTGGGTTACTCTAGTGGTGTGGTGGTACTCTAGTGGGGTTGGAGGTTTACTCGGTGGTGTTGCGTGGTACTCTGGTGGTGTTGTGGTACTCTAGTGGGTGTTGGTGGTATCTCTGGTGGTGTTGGTGTTTTGTACTCTAGTGGTGTTGGTGGTACTCTAGGGGTGTTGTGGTACCTCTAGGTGGTGTTGGTTGGTACCTCTAGTGGTGTTGGGTGGTGCTCTGGTGTGTTGGTGGTACTCTGGTGGGTTGGTGGTACTCTATGGTGTTGGTGGTTCTCGGGTGGTGTTGGTGGTACTTAGTGGTGTTGTGGTACTCTGTGGTGTTGGTGGTACTCTAGTGGTGTGGTGGGTACTCTGGTGGTGTTGGTGGTACTCTAGTGGTGTTGGTGGTACTTAAGTGGTGTGGTGGTATCTGGTGGTGTTGGTGGTACTCTGGTGGTGGTTGTGGTACTCTTAGTGGTTTGGTGGTACTCTGGTGGTGTTGGTGGTACTCTGGTGGTGTTGGTGGTACTCTAGTGGTGTTGGTGGTACTCTGGTGGTGTTGGTGGTACTCTAGTGGTGTTGGTGGTACTCTAGTGGTGTTGGTGGTACTCTAGTGGTGTTGGTGGTACTCTGGTGGTGTTGGTGGAGTACTCTGATGGTGTTGTGGTACTATTAGTGGTGTTGGGGTACTCTGGTGTGTTGGTGGTACTCTAGTGGTGTTGTTGGTACTCTGGTGGTGTTGGTGGTACTCTGGTGGTGTGGTGGTTAATCTGATGTGTTGGTGGTACTTGGGTGTTGGTGTTACTTGGTGGTGTTGGTGTTACTCTAGTGGTGTTGGTGGTACTCTGGTGGTGTTGGTGTACTCTGGTGGTGTTGGTGGTACTCTAGTGTTTTGGTGGTGCCTCTGGTGGGTGTTTGTGGTACTCTGGTGGTGTTGGTGGTACTACTGGTGGTGTTGGTGGTACTTGATGTGTTGGTTGGTACTCTGGTGGTGTAGGTGGTACTTCTGGTGGTGTTGGTGGTACTCTGATGGTGTTGGTGGTACTCTAGTGGTGTTGGTGGTACTCTGGTGGTGTTGGTGGTACTCTGGTGGTGTTGGTGGTACTCTGGTGGTGTTGGTGGTACTCTGGTGGTGTTGGTGGTACTCTGGTGGTGTTGTTGGTACTCTAGTGGTGTTGGTGGTTACTCTGGTGGTGTTGGTGTTTCTCTTTTGGGGGGGGTTGGTGTTGGTGGTACTCTGTGGTGTTGGTGGTACTATGGTGGTGTTGGTGGTACTTGGTGGTGTGGTGGTACTCTAGGTGGTGTTGGTTGGTACTCTGATGGTGATGGTGGTACTTGGTGGTGTTGGTGGTACTCTGTGGTGTTGAGGGTGGTAATCTGATGGTAGTTGGTGGTACCTCTAGTGGTGTTGG